ACCTTGCTTGTTACAGTGTGTGTGGGAGTGACCTAGCTGGGATGTGGGTGTGTGGTGTGAAGCATCAGTGTAATTACACTGATCTGCATTTGCTGTAAGGCACATCCGCCTTCATCAGCACCCTTGTTGCTGCAGGGTTGAGTGGAGTAGGGCAGGAGAAGAAAGATTCTTAGCCTGGTTTATGGGAAATTTGCATTGTGGCCTTTCCGCTTCTACAGTTCTATACATCTTGTGATGACTCTTTGATACAATAGTCTTTTTTTGTAAAAGGAGAAGGAGTAACCACTTCAAACTTGCACAAGGATTCTTAGCAGAAACTTGTCTCTCAGCAGCGCACAAGAAACATTCAGGAACTCCTGGAGTTGCCTTTTGCACCCTTAAGCGAAACCTTACCCTTAAAAAAGGTGAATTTTATTTAAAATACTATATACGGGTTAATTTTGGCTTTTAAATGAAAAATATTTAATTTCTTTGTGGAAGTATTTGTGTTTGTATGTACTTAGCTGTGCGTGGGGTCTTGCCTAGCTAAATAAGGTAAGAGTGAAAGGAGTGGGGGGAGGTAACTTTGCTCTCGTGTTTGTAACTTCTGTGGAAACAAGAGAAATGAGTTAAATGATTAGACAGTTTGGTATCAACGGACAAGTGTATAGTATGTCAAAAGTATGTTCATTTTATACTGTTATTATAGGAATACATGTAAGTTACAGATATATTTTTGAAGGTATTACACTGTGTTTCTAACTAGCTTCATGAGGTAACTCCAGCCATTGGATTGTTCTGTGTGTTACCAGCAGGAGCAGCAAATCAACTAAATCAGAATTCCTTTGGCAGACCAGATTTCAGTTAAAATTAATCTAAAAGCACATTAACTAAATGCATGTTTCTCTTTGGGATGCTTCCATATTCCATAGCCCAACAATATAAACTGGTTCAGTTCAAACAATCCTATGGATATGTCAAGAGGTTTTTTTGTTTGTTTTCTGTAAGATGATGTATCATCAGATATTTCACACAAGGCAAGAAGAAAATGGAAGAATCTGCATACCATTGTGTTTGTGTGTTTATCTGGTTGGTTGATGCTGTGGTGCAGTGTCATTGAAATTCTGTCATGCATTTATACCTTTGGATGCTCACGCACGTTTCACGTATGTACGCCTAGCTTGCGGCAACAGGGAAACTGGTACTTCTTCCAAGTTTACTGTTTTGTGCCAAAACCTAGGAGGTAAACTTTTCTGAATAACATGCATGTTTTGGAGAACATATTAAAAGTTGCCATTGTTCTAGGAACTGATTTGGCTTTTGTGGCCTCCTGTCAGAGAGGAGACAAACTTGCATGACTAAGGTAGCTGAGATCTTTTGAACCTGTACAAGTGTGATTCGGTTGAGCAGGAGGTAGAACTCGAAGGAATGGAGAATTGCATTTCTGTTATCTTGCAGGTTTGAGACAAAAACGGATGCTAGAAAGAACAGACTGACCTATGCTTGTGAAAGTTTCAAGAGACAGAGGCAATTCTTGTCATATTTACCTTTATTCAGATTGGCTTAGACCAAGCACAAATTTGTAGCTTTCTAGCCTCACGGCTTTTGATAAACTCAGTGATGCCTGCATGCTCAGAATACCTGTGGTCAAAGTTAGCAGTCTAGGGGAGTCAAACAGCAGCAGAAAGGGAAGGAGAACGTGGGTTTGAGCCTCATTTGGCTGTTACACGAGGGCATTACACACAGTGTTTGAACAGTCTGGGAACGTCGTGGTGTTGTTTTCGTCTGCTTTTTGCACTTACTGTCATTTCATAGTGGAATGTAAATTTGATAATAAACATGTATAACACGGCTTTTTTCAGTATATTGGTCATCTTGTGCGGTTTGTTGCAGATTTCATCTTCTGTTCTAAAGTGTTCTCTGATAAACCTAGAATTAGGCCTTTTTTGGCAAAAATTTAGTAGTTGTTATCCTGTACACAGGCTTAGTGAGCTGGTGTCTGCACAAGTGGTGGCTGTAAAAGCTGAGAAATTGACTTAAAAAACTTGACCAGGCTGTGCTGGGCTGTTTCCTGTTGAGCTTATACCTAAGCACTTGCAGGTGGCAGATGCGCAGTAGCCACTGTGGTCTGACTGCCCAGTAAACGTGCGATGCTTAAATCTAGAACAGAATGCTTTTCACCTTAACTTCTCATATGCTGAAGCTCAAGAGTTGGACATTTTGAACTTCTCACTGTTCTCTGTTATTGTCACACCTATAAATGGGATCAGCTGCAAGCTGGAACACCTGGGTATCTGGATTGCCAGAGATGTTGACCAAGTTTCCTTCCCTAGGAAGCAGGTAACCTAC